CAACACATTACATAAAGTGATCGGTCTCCAATCCCCTAAAAATCCTGGCCTTTTTTGAATCAAGACTTATTGAATTCTGTTAACCTCTTCTGGTATTCCCCCACTTGAAAATAGTTCCTGACAATACCTAATAATATCCTCTACCAGAATGTCTAAGTAATGCTGGAGGAAGCCCAGATTCAACTCATCCGCCCCTGATGCTTTATCCGGGTGCATGGCAAAAACAGCTTTCTTCACTTCTAGAGCTGTAATTAGGCGAATTAATTCTTGATACTGAGTTGCATTTACCTGTGTTAAAACCTATCAAGGTGATCTCCCTGTCGCCAAGTTGTTGTACATAAATAATTCAATGTAATAATTGTGAATCATCATCCGCAATTACCTTTATCCATTTGCCATTCGCCGGTTGGGAGCAACAAACCTTTCAGTTTGTATCTTCTTTGTGTTGCTTAACCGCATTGTGAAAAAAATTAGTGTTTCTGTCCCCATCTCTAAGCCAGAATTTTTTGGCCCTTTGTTTCCAAAAAATATTTATTTTCAAAGGAGGTCTAATAGAACATTTTTAACCCTTTGAAATTCTGTTGCGTTCCAGCATCCTCCCTCCTCTCGTAAACAAGACAATCTATTTTTTCATATTTCTATCCTGGTCTGAAAACCTACTCGATGGTGCTTGCTCAATCGCTTCACCCCCTTGATCTCATTAACAGGACTGCTAAAAACTTCTCGTTTCTTGCACAAATCATACATGTCAGACTAGGGGTGGATCGGTCTGGTCTGGGTTGTGTTTTTGCTAAACCCGGAAATTACCCGGAAGGTCTCGGGTTATGAAAATTAGGGACCGGAACAAAGTCCATTATATTTGGTCCGAGTCGGGTTTTTGGTAGCCCGTGTTCGGGTTGGGCCGGTTAAAGTCTGAATGTGAAATATCTCATTGTTCTTTTGTACTTTAACACCCATTTTCAAATAAAATTAATCAAAAATACAAATCGCAAATAATAACACAAATATTAGTCTCGAAAATCACCAACAATTCAAATCCAAAGAAGATAATTATCTTAATATTTTACTTAAGAGACATATAAATAAATAATATAGGTTTCTTAAAAATATTACTAAATAAAATTTATAGATAAAAATGTTACTAGAGTTGCTATAAATATATTTTCATAAACAAGGACATAATAAACAATCGGGTTATGATTTCAACTCCTGTCGGACTCTTGTGACACGTGGTTGAAAATGATGATTTCAACTCATTGTCGAATATTACCGAAAGACTTTCTTTTCCACTTTACCCATTCTTTCTCTTTCATTTTTTCCGATTTGGATGGTTTAGAAACACTACCATCAGAATTGGTGACATTTTCAATCGGGTTATACAAGGACATGCAATAAACAAAGTCTTCCATCATTGGTCTCCATTTAAATAATTAGTTTAAGTCTTTTTACCATCAAATTGGTACTAATCGACTCCATAATGTGACAAATTAAAATCCAGCTATGATACCAAGTTGTAGGGATCAAATAAGGGGTATTTATGACACCAACAATGTCATACACTTAAGATAATCAACCACATAAACAATCCAATCAAGGAAAATCACCACACAACCAAATTACCACGTAAGATCAGCAATATTGCGGAATATAAATAGTAATTATGAGCGAAAATAAATCACAAGGATCAGACATGATTCACCTTTCAATGTGAAGGATAAAAAATCACAGGATCGTTTGAGGAGTCTAACCTTACTTGTCTTATTGATAAGTTGAGGGTTAACGAACCCCAAATCAGTCTACAAAGGATTCAATCACAATCCACTAACAATCATCAGAACAATATGAGATCGAAAAAGCGTATGAGGTGTAGAAATCATCCAAAACTGCAGGTCTATTTGAGCAGAGTTTTTGATCAAACCAGATCTCAAAAGAACAATCTGACCGCTCAAAACGAAGCTCTTGAAGTCAGGAACAAGCACTTCAAATTTAACAAAATCCCTCCAAAAACTTGTTTTATTTGTTGAATTCTCATCCACACATAATGTTTTACAACAAAAACCCTCCAAAAACTTCTCTTAGAAGTCTAAGCTCAATTCCAAATGGATCTAAAAAAATAAGACATAACAATGCATTATAAAAGCCCAAATATAAACATCAAATACAAATATTACAACTATGGGTTGGACCCATAACAATAATATAATTAACCACATCAAGGCCACAAATTTTGGAAGAGACTCGTTGAATTTGATGATGGACATTAGTTCGAGTAGAATAATAATAATTAATAATATAGTGTAATGATGTTATTATGACTTTAAATATTAATAGCAGAACTTAAGCTTTTATGTTCACAATAACATACTCCCTCCATCCCATTGGGATGTTCCCGGTTTGACCTACACACATATTAAAGAAATAAACTTAACAGGGGGTAAATTTTACTGTTTTGACACTGTATGGACACTGTTTGACACTGTTTGACACTGTTTTTTATGTAGGATAACTTTCCATTTAGGGAAATGAGAACTTCTTTTTGGGACATCCAAAAAAGGAAAACGGGAACATCCCAACGGGGCGGAGGGAGTACAAAAGAAACAACATTCATAGTAACAGTAAACAACAACAACAATAATATCACAAATAACAAAATAATAATACTCCGTAATAATACCAATTATAATAATAACAAGATTGATACTACTACTAATAATAATAATAATATTGATAATACTAATAAAAGTAATATACAGAGGCGGAGCCAGAGCACTGGATCGGACTGAGACGATACAAAGAGTATTTTCGAAAAAAAAATACACGAAATCTTTTCCTAAAGAAATTAATGCATTTTTAAAATTTGGGCTGGGCCTGAGCCAGAGATGACTCTCCCCTAGCTCCGCCCATGGTAATATATCATGACTAAAATTTTCTGCTATGATCTGAATGTTTTTTACCTGATTTGAATCTTTTTAGTCTCATCTGACTGATTTGAATAAAATAAAAATAGATAATAAATAATAAGTATAAGACGATCAAATCAGCTCATAAATCCTACGTAGTATATGAGAGAAGGATGAAGTAATTTAAATTAGTGGTAATATAATGAAACTTCTAAAAAGAATAGAAGGTAAGATAGGACATCTAAGGATAGAAGGTAGGACTTGAAAAAATATTTGTACTTATTTTCAATGCAAACTACCTCAAATTTAGAACAATCCAACATAATCATTATTCTTAGACCTTGGTAGTACGTACGACTTGCTACCTGTTGACAGTTGTAATTAAGTTGTAACCTTAGCTTCATCAATTCCCTGTGATCTCAAGAAAATCAAATGGGTCAAGCTAGCGACACCGTCACGGAGAATGATTTAGCTGACTTACCCAAGCTTTAATTTATGTCATAATGGTGATATACAGAATTTAGCTTAAAAACTACCGAAAGTGCTTTTGTTTACTCCCTTAATTTCTCTCAAGAGTTAGAGATATAACAAATCTCATATAAATACTACGTAGTATAATTAATGGAATTATGCAATTATTATAAATACCCCGTATCAAATATTTTATACGTGACATTTCGGAAGTAACATTCAGTCTATGCAATTTTTGACGCGATTTTCAATGAGTCATCCAAAAAAAGTCTCTCTGTACTTTAGTACATGCAGTGGCGGAACTAGGGGGCGTGCCGGTGCCGCTGCCCCCCATTCTTCGGCGGCGGTTGTGTATATATATAAGTATGCGTCTCAGCCCCGGTTGTAAAATATTGATATATCAAAGCCTCGGTGGAATAATATGAACAACGATGATGATGGTTCACATAGAACTATACATGAGTAAGGCTGCGTACATCCAATCCCCCTTACCTTATCATTGGTGGGAAGCCTTTGCGTCATTGGGGTAATGACGATGATGATGCGTGACATATATCTTGGTTGTTTTGTGTGAAAATTAAAAGACTACATTGGACAAAAATAATGGGATTAAGGGAATGTCTGATTTTATGAAATACTTCGTAAGTAATTTAAAGGAGTTAATAGTGTAAAGCTGGAAACTGAAAAATAGAAGGGAAAATGGAAACTAATAATCCAACCTTTTAGCGGTCTTTCTTTCAATAATCCCACCTTTTGATTATTCATGAATAATCCAACCTTTGCACCTCATCTTCATTCGTTGGTCCCTGATCGGTTAATGACCTGCTATTCCAAGTTATTTTCTTATCTTTGCAAAATATTATCTTTGTGAAAGATGAGATTTATGGTGTAATGATTTGCAAAGATAAGAAAATAGCTTGGAATAGCAGGTCATCAACCGGTCAGGGACCAGTGAATGAAGATGAGGTGCAAAGGTTGGATTATTCATGAATAATCAAAAGGTGGGATTATTGAAAGAAGACCGCTAAAAGGTTGGATTATTAGCTTCCATTTTCCCAAAATAGAATGAAAAAAAGGTGGAGAAAGTCAAAAGGTTAATGGTTAGAAGTTGGAAACTAATTCTCAAATAGGCTGGCACTTGACACGGTTAGGAAGTTGAGAAAAGACAACGGCACTTCGGTTGAAATCTCAACGTTAGAAAAGGAAGGCGGCATTTTTTGCAATTTAATTAAGGATGAATTATAAACTTTCTATGTTAATTTTATTCTTTGTAAATACTAACTATGAAACCAAAGAAATAGAATATATACTTTTCTCTTTTAACTATGTAAAATATGTTTTTGATTTTTATAGGAAAACGGACATATTATAATATGATAGACCAAATAAAAATTACTGAGTCGAACTTCCTCCCCATCATATGAAAAATTATTAACAATATTGAAACTAATCAGTATATCTTAAAGAATAAGGGAGAAGATGTCAACTGGATTGCCACATCAGAATAATAATTAGTTTTAGCTAATTAGTCAACATGTTTGTTGGGGTTGTTATAGTCAATTAAATACTTTTACATATTTCTCCCTTGTATAAATAAGGCTTGGACACTTCTGAATAAACTACGCTTCTTCTCTATTCTTCCATATCTTTCTTTCTCTCCAAGACAACTTTGTAAGATGGTATCAGAGCGTTGAAAATGGCGATGGGAAGAAGCTACGCAGTTGCGTTAATGGCGAACACGAACGATCAAAACAGTTCGCATGAAGATCCAAATAGTCCTTATTATATGCATATCAGCGAAAATCCAGGTCAGATTCTTGTCAATCCTCTTCTGAATGAATCAAATTATCATTCATGGTCTAGAGCCATGAAAATGGCGCTTCTGTCCAAGAACAAATGGAATTTTGTGAATGGATCAATTGCAATTCCATCCAAGAACGATCCTACTTATCATAGCTGGGAACGTAACAACAATATGGTGGCTTCTTGGCTTGTTAGAGCCGTATCACCTTCCATAGCTCAGAGCATTTTATGGATCGAAAATGCTGCTGATATTTGGACAGATTTAAAGGAAAGGTTTTCTGAAGGAAATGCTTTCAGATTGTCAGACATACAAGATGAAATCAGTTCACTTCGACAGAAAGGTTTGAGTGTAACAGAGTATTTTACTCAATTAAAACTTCTTTGGGATGAAATGATGTCCATTAGACCACTACCTGTTTGTGTTTGTGATCCTAAATGTAAATGTGGTGCTATGACCAAAATAATACAGTATGCTGAGGATGATAAAGTCATGCGTTTCCTAAAAGGACTCAATCAGGAGTATATGAATGTGAAGTCTCAAGTTCTCTTGATTGATCCTATTCCTGGAATGAGCAAGGTGTATGGAATGACTGTCAAACTGGAGCACAAACTTGTTTCTGAAGAATCTGACATCATACATGCCAATTCAGTTGGAATGTCAATTCCAAACTCAGAAGTGAAGACAAATCTAATCAATGCAGTCAATGGAAACTTCAAGAAACCTGGAGGATTTGGTACAGGGCAGAAACCTAAATGTACACATTGTGGAAAATTGGGACACACAGTGGACAAATGCTATCACTTGCACGGTTTTCCTCCAGGCTATAAGTTCAAGGCAAGACAAGATGAAGGGCAGAAATCCATATCTCACACAGTTGGAATTGAACAGGCAGGTTTCACAAATGAACAGCTTCAGTATTTGATGAATTTCTTCCAAAGACAACAAGTATCAAAGTCAAGAGATCCTGCAGTTGCATCAGTGACCAAGGGTGTAGCAAAGCAAGTTGGAAATGAGAATGATCACTATTCAGGCAAGTATGTTTCTCTTATCAATGTTGATGAAGTGATGAATAATGACTTTACAGATTGGATACTTGACACTGGAGCGACTGACCATATAACATGTAATCTAAAATGTTTCTATTCTTATGAACCTGTTAAAGGAATATCAGTAAGGTTGCCGAATGGAACTTATCAAGCAGTTAGTCACATTGGAAAAGTTAAGCTCAGTGATGTGTTGTGGATTAGAGATGTTTTGTATATACCAACATTCAAATATAATCTCATATCAGCTAGCAAATTGACTAAACAATGCAAGTGTTGGCTAACTATTCTCCCTGACTGCTGTTTGATCCAGGAAACCCATGGGGGGATGATGATTGGTACAGCTAAAGAGCACAATGGACTCTATCACATGAAGCAATATAGAATTGGTTTTGATAGAGGAAATATTAATAGTTCTGTTCTTTGTAATAATGTCAGTAAAAGGCAACTCTGGCACTATAGATTTGGTCATGCACCTGATAGTAGACTATCACATATTGAATGTATTGACTTTGGTTCAACAAATAATAAAGAGTTTGTTTGTGATACTTGTCATTTTGCTAAACAGAAAAGGTTGCCCTTTCCAGTTAGCACATCTCAATCTCAAGCATGTTTTGATCTCATTCATGTTGATATCTGGGGACCATTTTATGTGACCTCATTAAATGGAGAGTGTTATTTCCTTACTATTGTTGATGATCACAGTAGGTACACTTGGATCCATTTGATGAAACATAAATCTCAAGCCAGGAGTATGTTGCAACACTTCTGCACATTTGTTAATACACAATATGACAAGTGTGTTAAGATTATAAGAAGTGATAATGGAGGAGAATTCAGCATGCCAGACTTCTATGCATCAAAGGGAATCATTCATCAAAGATCCTGTGTTGAGACACCTCAACAAAATGGACTTGTAGAAAGGAAACACCAACATATACTGGCAGTGGCAAGAGCATTAAGAATTCATGCAGGGCTACCCATGAAATTCTGGGGAGAATGTGTTCTACATAGTGTGTACCTTATCAACAGGACACCCACACCTCTTTTAAAGGAACAAACTCCTTATGAAAGATTGCATTTAAAGCCACCTGATTATTCTAATCTGAAAGTGTTTGGCTGTTTGTGTTTTGTTTCTACACTCCTTCAAGGAAGACACAAACTTGATGCTAGAGCTAAAAAATGCATTTTTATTGGATATTCTGCAGGAGTGAAAGGCTTCAAGGTGTATGATCTTTCTACTGAACAAGTATTGTTATCCAAGAATGTTCAGTTTTATGAAGAGGTGTTTCCATTAAAGGGAGAAAAAGAACAGAGTAACAATCTGAATTCACAAGTGGTTGTACCAATGATTAATGTTGATTCAACGTTGGACTTCACACAAAGTGATCAGAATACTCAAGACACTTCATTAGAAACTATAATTGAAAATGAGGATAATATACATGGAGAAAATCAACCTCACTTGCTTAGAAGATCAAGCAGAATGAGCAAGAGGCCTACCAGACTACATGATTACCAATGTAGTCTTGGTAAAAGAACATCCCCACATTCTTTACTACAAGTGATGAGTTATAATCATTTATCGAATGCTCATAAAGCATTCAGTGCTAATATCACAGCTGCGACAGAACCAACAGGACCCAAAGCTTATGAAAAGGCTATTCTGGATCCTTGTTGGAAGAAGGCCATGCAAGAAGAAATCAAAGCTTTGGAATCCAATCATACTTGGATAATCACAAAGCTGCCACCTGGAAAAGAAGTTATAGGATGCAAATGGGTTTATAAAATCAAGTATAAACCTGATGGAAGCATAGAAAGATACAAAGCAAGACTAGTTGCCAAGGGATATACTCAACAGTTTGGGGTTGATTATCTTGAAACTTTCTCACCTGTTGCAAGAATCACAACCATCAGGACTCTGCTTGCTGTTTCTGTTGCAAGGAATTGGTATTTACATCAATTGGACATCAATAATGCCTTCCTTCATGGAGATCTAGATGAAGAAGTTTATATGGAACTACCACCAGGTTACAAGGCACAACAGGATGGACAGGTCTGCAGGTTATTGAGATCTTTATATGGACTGAAACAAGCAAGTAGACAGTGGCATGCAAAACTGACTGGAGCATTGATTAAAGAAGGATTTAAACAAGGAGATGCTGATCCATCACTATTCACCAAAGAAAAGAATTCTTCTTTCTTGGCATTGATCATATATGTTGATGATATAATAGTAACTGGAAACAACATGAAACTTATTGATGAGTTGAAGAATTTTCTTGATATATCTTTCAGAATCAAGGATCTTGGAAATCTTAAATATTTCCTAGGAATTGAGTTGGCTAGATCTTCTAAAGGTCTACATTTATGTCAACGGAAATTTCTACTAGATATACTTGAAGAAACAGGTTTTATCAATTCTAAACCTGTTAATACTCCAATGGTTCCAGGGGACAAACTTCATCATGATGATAGCCCAAAACTGGAAGATGTTGGGTCATATAGAAGGCTGGTTGGCAGATTATTATATTTGACAGCTACAAGACCTGACATCAGTTTTGCTGTACAACAACTCAGCCAATTCATAGATAATCCCACTGAACATCATATGCAGGCTGCTCATAGAGTGTTGAGGTATCTGAAGTCATCTCCAGGAAAAGGAATATTCTACTCTTCTAATTCTTCATTCCAGATACAAGCTTTTGGAGATGCTGATTGGGGTGCATGTATAGACACTCGAAGATCTATATCTGGATTCTGTGTATTTCTGGGAAAGTCTCTTATTGCATGGAAATCCAAGAAACAACCAACAGTAGCAAGATCATCTTCAGAAGCTGAGTATAGAGCCTTGGCAATGTTAACTTGTGAGGTTCAATGGATTAGATATCTTCTACAGGATCTGAAGGTTGATTTGAACAAAATTCCAACTTTATATAGTGACAGTAAATCTGCCATAGCTATCTCAGAAAATGCTGTGTTTCATGAAAGAACAAAGCATATAGAAATTGACTGTCACATAATACGTGAACATGTACAAAAGAAGAGTCTCAAACTTCTTTTTGTTCCATCCTCAGCACAACTTGCAGATGGTTTCACTAAGCCATTGCAAAGAACCCTTTTTCAGAACTTTACTTCTAAGCTGGAACTCTTGGACATCTATTCTCCAGCTTATGGGGGGGTCTTAAAGAATAAGGGAGAAGATGTCAACTGGATTGCCACATCAGAATAATAATTAGTTTTAGCTAATTAGTCAACATGTTTGTTGGGGTTGTTATAGTCAATTAAATACTTTTACATATTTCTCCCTTGTATAAATAAGGCTTGGACACTTCTGAATAAACTACGCTTCTTCTCTATTCTTCCATATCTTTCTTTCTCTCCAAGACAACTTTGTAAGAGTATATGAATCATTTAAAAAAATACGTTGAGAAACTAAAATTTAACCAATAATGTCATAAATGAAACATCATTTTGATTTAATAAATAGATGTAAAATCCCTATGAGTTTTGATGTACACCTAACTCCAAATACAAATTGTTTGAAAAGAACTCTATATACTCCTGTTTAGGAGAGAAATGGTCATGCCCACAACTTCTCCATCCAAATGCCGCCCGTACACCGTCGTTTGGGGCGGTTCCCGATGAAATTGTTTGATTAATTTTTTTTTAACATATTCCTCATCAAGTCTAGTTTATCCACAAAAAAATTCAGCTCAAAATTCAATCGGGAAATGAGTCAAATCATTTTTGAAGTTGACTGGGCCAAAATATACATAAAAAACGCAGTCAACTTCAAAAAATGATTTGACTCCCTTCCCGATCAAATTTTGAGCTGAAAGTTTTTGTGGATAAATTAGACTTGATGAGGAACATGCTCAAAAAATTTCATCAAAAAATTCTACCGGGAACTAACCCAAACGGCGGTGTTCGGACGGCATTCGGACGGAGAAGTGCTGGACAGGATAATTTCCTGTTTAGGATATTATTATTTAATCATTTTAGTTTAGATATGCGTAGTATTTTATTTTAGAAAAAGTATGGCAATATATATGTGCAAAGTTAAATTTAAATCATTGCAGCCTAGAAAGCTATGTCTGATCTTCCAAATTTGTTTTACAAAAGTTGCACTGCCAGTCGGTATGATATCACTTCAAAACAAAATACTTATTGTATAACAAAAATAAAATTTATTATAGAACTAATTCTAGAACAGTTATGGAAACAAATTTTGAGCACATACAATGTCAAAACAAGTCTAGAACCAATTTGAACATACTCTGAACTTGTAAAACTGATATAAAATTTGACATTATTTTTAACTTAGTAGAAAAATAGAGAGTTTTTGTTATTATGATGCAACACTTTCACAAAATCACCAAGTTTATAATGTCCAACTTCCAACAACCCAGATTTTGATGCTTCCCAACCTAGTTTTGTTTGTTCTTTCCACCCACATTAAATATCCTCACAATCAGAAATGGAGCAAATGCCAAGCAACTCAGTTTCATCAATCAGAAATTGCACAAAAGACAAATTTGCACACATGAAATATACTTAGCCAAACGCAATTGACAGATATATAATAGGAAATCACTTTAAGGACACTGTCCTTTGTCCTGCTCATTACAATCTGGTAATGAAGTTAAATAACTTGTGCCCCATGCATTACACAAAAAACTTATGTACAATATTTGTTTTAGTACTATAACAGTAATAATCCTTTGCTAGGTAATATCTGTAATGGTTTGTCCCAAATATCACCTCCGAATATCAACACTCTCTCAGTCGAATCCGTCAAAGGTTTTTCTTAGTGTGATTTACTTCTTTTGTGTGTGTATGGGCTGTTAGACATGAACAAGGTTTACATGGTACTTGGTACACACAGAAGAGAAGCTAGTCGCAGCAAAATCGACATCGCGTAAGCCCATTCTCGTTACAATCCGGGCATCTCTGGAAACCATAATCCCCTTCCTGGTCATACTCATCACTATCAGCTTCACAGTAGATTTTGCAACTACCTGAACATGTTTCACAAGGAACAAACCTAATATCCCCACAAGTTTCGCAAGAGAAGCCATTACCACCATCACAACCACCAACAAGCTGCACCCTTTCACAGCTCTCCACTGCCTTCTCAAGCTGCCCGTCCTCGTGCATTCGCCTGATTTCATCCACACCCCCTATACACTTTTTCCCCACAAAAACTCTTGGCAAGCAAGTGGCATTGTATCGGTCCCCTAAAAGCTCTCTCAACTCGTCCTTAAACCCGGAATGCATCGACAAATCCCTTTCATCAATTTTAACTCCTAGTCCCTTCAAAAGCACCCTAACATGACAACAATCCTCATATGTTTTTCTCACACCTCTTAGACTTGTGAAGTAGACAACGACTTTGTTCTTACACAACTTGCTATACTCTGATGCCACCTCAACATCTTCCTCCAATGTCTCTAGATCCTTGTGAGTAATCGCGAGAGGCTTGTTATCAAGTGTTTCTTTGAAGGCGGATACCATCTCGGGATCAATTTCACACACCATGGATGTGTCAATTGATGTGGACTTCG